CCTCACCCCAGAGTCATTTTGTTCAGAAACTGGAGTCCCCCCTCTGACCTCCTCCCTTTCCCCCCGTTTACACAGCTCAGGGCCAGGCTTGGGCCACCAAACTGACTTCTCAAGGATAGGTAGGTCTTGGCCTCCAAAGAGACAGACCTAGCTTTTCTGATTTTTCCCTCTAGTTTCACAGTTCTCTTGTCTCTTTGAAGGTCATTGGGGCAGGAGTGGGGAGACCTAAGGACCAATTGCCTATATGTGAGGACTGAGACCCCAAAGGCCTGGGCCTGTGTATGAGCAGTTAAGCTTCTCTCTTCCCCTGCTCATGTTTGCACCCCCAGGCCTATCCTGCAGTTTTGGCCGAGGTAACACAGTACATTGTGCCCCCACTGAAGACTGTCCTGCACTGTGTCCTGAGACGGATCCAAATGCCCTTGCTCCCATCCTCTGTGATACAAGTGAGGGAATCAGGGCCCAAGAGGGGTAGACATTAAGCCAGGTTCCAGATCGGCCACCTTTATTGGAGACCCTAACTCCTATACTCCTCTTCATGCAGTCATTTCCCAGTCATTGGATGTTTAATCAATGACCCACATTAGCTGATAAATAGCAGTTGTAGAAAAGGCAGGTCCCTCAGACAAGTCATGGATTTAAATCCCGGTTTTGATACTTTGTAACTTTAAGCTGGTGTCTGAGCTGGAGGGTTAAATAAGCATATGCACAGAGAGCAATTAATGTGCCAGACATAGTGATCTGAAAGATGTTGGCTACAATTGTTATTAGTGGTACCTACTTAGTGCCAGCCTTCAGGCCCAGGGTAGGTAGAAGATGCTTCTATACCCTCAAAGAATTTTTATGGGTGGTGATAGTGAGGGGACAAGGAGACAAATGAGCAAATAAAAGCTATTTCTGTACACTGGTCACTGTGGCCATAGCAAGGAAGAGATGAAGGGTCCCAAAGCCAGGCCACAGAATACAGTTGTTCAGTGCATACACTGCAAAAAGGCACATGGCAAAGGGAGCTAGGAAGACTGAAAGATAGTCCATGACCTGCTGCCAAAAGACGGTACCTATATCTGCCAAAAGGATAATTTTTTCCAGTTTGCACAAAGGCTAGTAGTGGCCTCGTAGATAGCAAGGAAGAGATGAAGGGTCCCAAAGCCAGGCCACAGAATACAGTTGTTCAGTGCATACACTGCAAAAAGGCACATGGCAAAGGGAGCTAGGAAGACTGAAAGATAGTCCATGACCTGCTGCCAAAAGACGGTACCTATATCTGCCAAAAGGATAATTTTTTCCAGTTTGCACAAAGGCTAGTAGTGGCCTTTGTGCAAACTGGAAATATGGGCCAAACTGAGGTTGGGAGTAGAAGTCAGAGAAGGTTCCCAGTGGAGGTGACACATACTCTTGGTCTTCAGTGAGGAATTCATGAAGTGAGCTAGATTTAAGGCCTCTCTGGGCAGAGAGAACGTGCAAAGCCATGGAAACTTGAAGGGGAGGTTTGGAGTTTCTGAGGGAAACTTGAGTGTTGGGTAGTGTTGGTCAGCAGGGCCATGGGATTGCAGGGAGGCATGGGGCTGGTTAGAGAAGCCAGGCCAGAGCTGGGGAAGGGGCTTGGGCTGAGCCCTTATAGGCTCTGAGGAATCACTACAAGATATGAAGCAGGTGAACCCCAGGGCAGATGTGTATGTGAGAAGCCTCACTAGGACAGCAAATGTCAGGGGATAGGAGAATAACTTTGATGCCAACCTCATTTCAGTTTCCTCATTTGAAAAATGGGGATGATACTACTACTGGGGCTGATGTAAGGATTAAATAAAATAATGCACTTTAGCTGTTTAGCACAATGCCCTGCCCAGGGTAAGGGCTTCATAAATGCCAATCATGGATATCATTCAGGAGGGCTGGATCCAGAACTAGACTGACACACTCCTACCCAAAAGACAGGGCCCCCTCTGTTCCCCAAAGTCGCTGGAGACTTAAGGAACTTGTTTTCTGAATCTAAGCTGATTGATTGAATAACAATGTGAAACTTAAATATTCCTCTTTGGAGGCAGGGAGAAAGGAGGGAATAGTGAACCAGCGTGGTTTTACTTCTTGTGGAAGGGGGCTTGTGGGGGGTGGGGGAGGATGGTCTTTGTCTCATTTGTTATGGTGGAGAGTTCTATGTGGATGCTTTGCATATGACATTTCCTGTTCCTGTTGCATTCTCCATGTGGACAATTCTGCCTCTCCTCTGGTTCCTACCTGGGTTGGATAGGGGAAAGGGGGTTTGGGTCTCCTTCCAGTTCTTAATTTCAAGGAGCAGGGGAAGACTCCTAGATCTATCTGTTAAACTGGGCCAGGTACACCAACACCCCTTCCCTGAGAAAGTCACCTGGCTCATCTCTATTGCAGCCCGCAGCCCTTTGGCTTTGCTCATCCGATATAGGAGGCGGAGGTCTCCAAAAAAAAAAAAAAAAAAAAATAATTAATAGTAAGTCTCTAAAGTGGAGCTACTATGCCCCTCCCCTGTGGACGCTAGTGTGAACCTTCTTTCAGGTGTGATTCTGTACTGACCCTTGTCTTCAGAAGCCCTGCAGGATTAAGCTTCATCTCTTGGGTCCTAGTCCTCTGAGACCTACTGCTAACTCCTGGAGAAAGATACCCCTTCACAGTCTGTGCCTCAGCTTCCCCAGAAAAGGTAGAAGGCGGTGGACTAAGTGTTTGGAGATGCTGGAAAATCTCGACCTGGGACCTTCCCTCCTTTTTCTTTGTATGGTCAGTGCCAACATAATACCTGACACTCAGGTTATCTAGAATGTCTGTCTTTAAGCAGTTTAAGACGTGATAACCTAGAGGTGGCCACTTGTCTTAAAACTGTGTTCCAGAGCAAATACCTTGCTTTCATTCATATGGTATGTTTGTTTGGGTTGGCTTTGAGGAATAGTGCTAGAGAGTTGAGGAGAGGAGAGGAGAGGAAAGGCTGAACACCTCTAGGGAGCCATTCCTTGCACATAGTTAAGGAAGGACACTTCTCAGCATTTGTGGAAGGGAGGGGGTGTCCACGATGGGTGGGGAGGGGTCACTCCCAGTGGCCTGGGAGGTCAGAAGGGATAGAAAGGCAACACATTCCAGATGGACTCTACCCTTTAACACCTCCCTCATTCCCCCACCCCCTGGCTGGGTCAAGGTCCCAAGGACAGATTTAGAAGTCTTGAAGGGTGGGCAGCAGCAGCTGCTAACCAGAGACCCCAGCCTCTGGGCCCTGGCCTGCCTCAGAGACAGGCAGGCCACACAGAAGAGAGGAAGCAGTGAAGAGGAAGCTGGTTTCCCTTCTCCCACTGCCATGCCTGTGGCCGAAGGCACCCTGGTCCCACAGTTAACTCCCTGTTATCTGTGCCCCAACCCATCTAAGGCTTCAATGTTTAATTCTAGGCAGACTTCCCCAACACTGGCTCCTCCCACCCGGGGGTCTCAGGTCTGCGGGGTGTGTTTTCTCTGCCTATAGGAGGAAACACACCCCTATTCCCACAAATTCCACAGAATTTAAGAAACTTTCTACTTTGGTATTATACAAGCCCGGGGCTTACTCTATGGGTCCCTGAGATGGTGAGAAAAGGACATCCGCAGGCATTGCATTAGCTCAAGCTGGGAAGATGGAGGGGGCACTAAGGGCGAGCATATGTGAGCCCAAATCTGTACCTACTGGGCTTTTGTTTTCTCTTTCAACCAGTGTCAACTGAGCACTGTTTCAGGCTCGAAGTTTGTAGGCCACGGTCCCAGAGCACCACAAAGTGTGTGCTTTAGCCCCAGGACTCAGGGCTTGGACTGGCCCCAGCGTAGGACGAAAAATGCCCTTTCTCAGATCAGTTTTCTCATCTGTGAAATGGGGACAGGAATCTCCGCCCCTTTTCTCCTGGGGAACCAGAGCCCACCGAGTCCAGAAAGCGCTCTGAACCTGCGTCTAGCTGCAAGAGCCTTCCTCTAGAAGATCCGGGCCCTACGCACACCTGAGCTGGGCGGCGCAGCCAAACCCTTCCCACTGGTCCTCGTAGCTTCGCCGCCCGCTGAAGAGAGGGGTCAGAGGTACGGTGGACTTCCACGTAAGATGGGTGTCCAAGCCCATGCACCCCTCACAAAACGGGGAAGGTCTTCTTATTTTTCGTAAAGTTGCGGAAAAAGAGGTGAAGACAGGGCGCACTGGGGAGCTGAGTCTGGGCCGACCTCGTCAGAGCGCGAGGAGCTCGAGGCGCAGTGGCTGCAGCTCCGGCTTCAGAGCCTGCGGCGTCCAAGTGGCCAGAGCTGCGCTGGGAGGAAGACGGAGGGAGGAGGGAGGGATGTCGAGGTGGAGGGGGGGGAGGAGGAGGAGGGAGCGGCGAGTCCGGTCCGGGTTTTGCCGGCAGCCCCCGGGCAGCGTTCAGAGCTCCTGCCCGGGCGGGCGCGCAGCGGCGGCGGCGGCGGCAGAGGCGGCGGAGCCTGAGCGGGGATGTAGAGGCGGCGGCACTGGCGGCAGCAGAGGCGGCGGCGG